AAATTTAATTTTTTAATATTTTATTTAACATTTTGTCCATAGATGGTTTCTAGTGAGGGTGCTCTATAATTACCCTTCTGCTATCTATTAGTGATTTGGTAGCCTTATTATGATTACATCATAAAATTAATTGGAGATGTCTTTTTTCTTTGAGGACAGTTTGTTCCTGAGCTCTATATTTTGGGTTGTTAGTAAATCAGACTGTGAGACCATCTTCTGTGAGACCTTCCTTTTAGGCATCCTGAGGGGCTTGGGCTCTGGGAGTTTTCCACTTGGGAGATCTGCCATAGGTCTCCCATATGTCACTGGCCTGAGACCCCCTTGCTTGGTAGCTATTCTACTTTGCTTCAGTTTCCTCTGCTATGAAGTACAGAGGATTAAAATATCTACCCCATAAGACTGTTGTGGGGATGAAACAAGTTATTTATATAAATGCATAGAACAGTGGTCTAAGAAGGGGCACACACACACACATACACACAAGGATTGATCTATTTAAGGAATGACTTATCACTTTCATTGCATTATTTTAGAATCTCTTCTAAATCCTCCAGTGTAAAGGAAGTACATCTTTCTAAAACCAAACCAGATAGTTGAGTGTATGGATTTTTAAACTAAATAAGATAGGAATTGATTACTTACTTGAAATAGGATTCACTAAGGAATTTTCTTGGCAAAGAAAGAGAAACTAAGAGAAACTGCTCTTAGTTACCAATATCTGCTTCTGTCTTCTTCTTCTTCTTTTTTTTTAGGATTTATTTATTTGGGAGGGAGCACAAGCGAGGAGGGGAGCTGGTGGAGGAGAGAGAGGATCCCAAGCAGGCTCCCCACTGAGTGTGGAGCCTGATGTGGGGCTTGATCTCACGACCCTGAGATCATGACCTGAAACCAAAAGTTGGAGCCTAACTGACTGTGCAACAAGGTGTCCCTGCTTCTCTCTTTTTGGATGAGAACTGTACTTTCTTATCATCAAAGCAGTACCTATACTGAACTTTTTTCCTTCACTCCTTATTCTCAACTACTTCCCAGCTAATTCCGTTAGAATTATTTTTATTTATTTCTTAAATTTTATGCCCCACAACAAAGGAGAAGTTTTAGAGCATGTTGTTGAGTACCAGGCACTAAGTAAGCTTTCAACAGATACTTGATGGATAAGTGAATTTCCTGTTTCCCATTATACTTAGTAGTTAATTCTTCCTTCTATTAATTGGATCTTGAAGTTCTTATAAGTATAAAATGTTATGGGGCACCTGCGTGACTCAGTTGGTTAAGCCTCTGCCTTCAGCTCAGGTCATGATCTCAGGGTCCTGGGATCGAGTTCCACATTGGGCTCCCTGCTCAGCGGAGAGCCTGCTTCTCCCTCTCCCTCTGCCTGTCACTCTTCCTACTTGTGCTCTCTCTCAGTCTCTCTGTCAAATAAATAAATAAAATCTTTAAAATATATACATATATAAAATGTTATGGCCATTAATATGATTTAACTTATCAGATTATCATGTAAACAACTTTACAGGAATCTCATTTCATGAGTGTAGTATAACCAGACCTTTATATATCACAAGTTTGAAAAGTGTGTCACTTCCATCATTACATTTATGAAATTACAATTAATTTTATATATGAAGCTTTTCTACTTACAACAGTTTTAGATTGGGTCAAAAATACTAAATTTTTTATCTTGATACATTTTAACATTTGCAATCTTGAAGTTGTCACATATTTGAGGTCTCGGCATTTAAAGGGTAATTTCCATAAATGTAAAAAAAATACCTTTATGCTGAAACATGAAGATTGCTATAAACAGAGGATATAAATATTATTCTGTCTCATGAGCTACACCCTCTGCTTTGTGTTTTCACTAGTCTTACCACATTTTTGTGGCAAACCTGGGAGATCATTTGCCTGGTTTATAGATAAGGAAAAACTTGGAGGGGAAATGACCTGGTCAGGCAGGGATTTGAACCCAAGTCTTTGGACTGTAAGCCAGTGTTCTTGAGGAATCATCCAGGAAAGGAACTCTTCTGTAATGAGCCAAAGACATTAATATTCCATTTGATTTCTGAAGTGAATAAGTAACCTATGGAAAACTCATAAGAGCTATGGAAATGTTTCTTAAGCTAAGGTTTAAGACTGACAGTTTGAAATGGATTCTTATCAAAGACTCACCCCCTCATTATACATTTTAGTCCTCCATGTAGATATAAAACATTACAGTACAAATATTTACTCTAATTCCATGCAAAGACTACATCCTGGCTGTGATCCCATTGCACAGTTACTTGTTATATACCTCTTTAGTTCTAATTTGCTTCCTCTTTGTTTTATCAGTACTTGTTTGTTCATGTCTGCCATCATGGATTGTAACTTCTTTGAGGTTTTGTCTGTGATATTTATTTTTATCAAAAATATATTGTGTATTTATCTGTGTCTTCTACCATGTTCAGTACTTTTTACATAAAATATGCTTAATAAATGTTGAATAGTATTGAGTTACGGCGTGCACACACACACTCTCTCTCTCTCAAATATATAAGTAAAATCTTTTTAAAAAAGAAATTAACAAAGAGAACACAATCTCTCTAGCATAAGCCAAGGAGCTCGTATTTGGATATAACTCTAGAAACAGCATTACAGCACTTTTTCTTTCTTTCCTGTCTCTCTTATATATACTCTTAACATTTGTTGACCATGGATCTCTTTGATCTTTTTTTTTTGACATTCACTGTGCTTTTACTTTATCTCTGTGAACAGCTAACAGTGGAACAATTTTCGATTTTTTATTCAGTCTACATCATATATTTCTTGATCAGTTATTTGGGACTGTAACTGAGCCATTTGAATTACATGCTATTTTGTTCTAGGATGAAAGCTTGATTCAGCTCACTGCTGACTCATCATATGTTGCTATAATTCTGGAAAGCAGTGAAAATTGTGGTAGTGTTGAAGCAAAAGTTGTATTGGACTGGTAGTTCAATAATAAAGGACTTATATTTATTGTATAACTAATTCATATACCTAGGCATTCTATAAAATACTTTAAATTGTAGATGATCTATAAGATAGCTATTATTAACCCTATTTTACATATGAGGGAAATGCGTCTGTAAAAGATTAGTTGGCTTTTCTAAAGATCAAATTGACCTCTCCTTTAAGGTCAGATATTTACAAAATAATACTTCTAGAACATTGACTCATAAAGGCAGGGACTTTGTTGTGTTCAATGCCATTGTCCCAATACTTAAAATAGTGGCTGTAGGCTAGATGTTTATTAAATGAATGCAGTTCCCCTCTCTCATTCTCTCTTGAACTCAACTCCAGATTATCGCTCCCATCACTCCATCAGTGCTACTCTTGCTGACGTTACTGATGACCTTCCAATTGCTAAAATACAGAGGTCTATTTGCAGTCTTTTCTAATTTGATTTATCAGAGGTATTTAACTCAGTTACTCCCCTTACTTGAAACACTTTCTCAACTGACAACACATTCTCCTGTTTCTTCCCCTTCTTCCCTGGTCACTCCTTAGTCTCATGTTTCCTTCTTACCTTCTCAGCCTCTCAGAGTATTCCTAGGACTCTGTCTTCAGATGTTTTCTTCTTTCTATTTATGCTCTCTTCCTTGGTGATACCATGCAGTTCCCCGTCTTTAAATATGATTTGCATTTTTATCCTGGACTCTTCTCCTGAATTCTACTCTACTGTGTTGTGTGATTAATAAATTAATATGTGAAGCTCAACATGTCCAAAAGACAGACTCCTAACATCCTTCCATCCTTCCAGTTGGAAGGGTATAACTAAATCATACAAACTCAACTCTTCAGGTTGATTAGGCTGAAAGACTGGTGTTATCTTTGTCATCCAGTCCATCAGCAAATCCTGTTGGCTCTATCTTTCAAATGCCTTTTGAGTCTGATTACATTTCACCTCCGTTATCACTCTGACCCAGTCCAACATCCTTTTCCATATTTTATTGTAATCATTTCCAAGCTGATTTCCCTGCCTCTGCCCTTGGCCCCTCTATAGACCATTCTTAACACAGTAGCCAGGGAGATCTCATTTAAAAAAACAAACAAACAAACAAACAAAAAAAAAACCAGTCACAGCATAGAAGCCTAAATCCTTTAAATCTACCTTTTTAACTTCACTGCCTACTATTTAGTTCAGTCTTGTTGATTTCTTTGCTATTTCTAATATACCAGGCCATGCTCTCCACCCCACCTCACAGGGTCTTTACATTTTTTTTTTTCTCTTTCGGAATGATCTTCCTATAGATGTCCCCATGATTTAGGTCTTGTGTTCTTTACTAAGGTCTTCAGGCCTTTACTCCTTAGATCTTTACTAAGACATTCTCTTTCTCTGTGAGGTCCCCATTGATTATCCTATTTAAAATTGCAACTCCTTCCTTCTATACCCCTCCCACACCACCCATCAGCCCTTCTTATCCCCTTCCCTGCTTTATTTTCTTCTCATGCTACTTACCATCCTTAGGCATACTATATATGTTACTTATTTATCTTGGTATGTGTTTGTTTTTAAAACTACATTCTTAGTAGAATGTAAATTTCACTAGAATCGAAGTTCCACATAGTAAGGGTGGGAATTAATTTTTCTGTCCTGATTTATTCATTTGTCCCCAGAACAAATGAATCAATATATGAGTATTAGGGTGGAATTCTGTTCTGATTGACCTCATAGCTAAACTGGGCTATAATTAGTTTCTGCGTATTGTCCTTGTTTTATATGTACACCCCTACTTTTACCCCTCTACTACTCAAAGGCCCTTGGAATTGATAAGGTTTTATAAATTTTAGACATGTAGAATGAACAATCCAGATATATTCAGTATTTAATCTTACAATGATAATGATGACTGCTACATTCTGAAATTTAGTTCAAGTATAGTTATGGCATTATATTTTTTTTTAACTCTTAAAAATGTTCTCAGGTTTTGTGTATGTATATTACCACATTTATTGTGTGTATACAAATATTTTTTAAACAGGTTATCAGGACACCCCATGGGAGAGACTTTGACGAGTCTTTGGAAAGGTGTGATGATTACTTAAGCTCACGGTCATGCAGCAAGCCCCAGCATTCAGCAAGGACCTTACTTGTCCATTCAGCACCCTCAACGATGCCAAAGCATTCTCCAAGCCCTGTGTTAAATCGAGCTTCTCTCAGGGAAAGGTAATGCTTAGTCTCTCTTCCTGTACTAATTTTTTTGAATAATCGTCACTAGAAAAGACAAGGCAACAATTATGTATGTGAAATGATTATTCATACAAGTATAATTTGATCTTTTATTAAAGGGCTTAATTTTTGTTTAGAACATGACATAATACATATTGTATGGCACTAGATACTCCTCCCCAACCCAGTCCTCTTGAAGTAAGTTTATTAATTATTGGTGAGTTTATTAATTAGGGTCACTTAAACCCTAATTAAATACTGTAATTCAGGGGCGCCTGGGTGGCTCAGTTGGTTAAGCGACTGCCTTCAGCTCAGGTCATGATCTTGGAGTCCCAGGATCGAGTATCACATTGGGCTCCCTGCTTGGCAGGGAGTCTGCTTCTCCCTCTGACCTCTCCCCTCTCATGCTATCTATCTCCCTCTCTCTGTCTCTCAAATAAATAAATAAAATCTTTAAATACTGTAATTCATGAAAGTGAAAAATAGCACACGTTGGTTTGTTTTCAAGAGATTCATAGGAATTTAACATATGAATATGGCTAATGCATAAAAATAGCATAGGTTATACTTTCCTTTTAGTGGTAATGATGATGCCATATATCGTATATGGTACCTGATTTCCTCAAATAACCCCTCCCCAACTCCCCAGGAAATCTTAACCATGTAAAGATTCCAGCTGTCCCTCTAAAAAACCTTGGGCAACCAAAGTTAGACACTTGTTACAATTGAATGTGAAAGAAATAATCCCTCTTTATCGGTTTTTGTCATTGTTAAATTCAAGTTGGAAATTCCTCGCCTCACTCACTAATAGTAACATAGAAAACAGAGTCGTCATAAATTAAAAAAAAAACCCTAGATAGTTAAAAAATTTTATAGAAATTTGAACACTAAGAGAAATGCTATCAACAAATGGAAATAAAATCTATCTTTACAGATGGTGTAAAAAAGCTAATGTAACACACTAAATTTATATGGCTTATTACAACTGTCGACATAATTGACAAAATTCAAACTAAATGTATAGTCTGTCAGAAAGTTCATCTCAAAACTGATGATCTGAGCAAGAGTGTATCAGTTTGGAAGCTGTATTAAAGCATCTCTATTCTGAAGAGATAGATTTGTCTGTTTTCCTCATTTGCCCTGTAAGCATTCAGATGGATGTATGGAGGTCTGCTGGAGACCCTAACCCTGAGATGGGGAATTTTGATTAATGTTGCTTCTAGGCCAATAGAATCCTGCTTGAGGTATCATGGAGTTCATAGATAGGACAGATAGATTAAAAGATGCATCTCTGTATTTACAGAGAGAGATACGTATTTATGTTTCTGTAGGCTTGAAAGTTCAAGAGAGACTTTTGAAGAGAGATTTTCCTGCTGAAGTCTGGTAACTTGTGTCTCAGTTGTCAGGGGACTTTCTTTAATTTCCATGTCTGTTCAGATGTGTGGTCAGTGCTGTTCTCTTTTTCTGTACTTTTAGAATTAAGCACTTGTGATTTTATTCATTAGGTTCTTTGCCATCTCTGTAGATTTTCAAGAAATTTACTCGTATCTCCTTGAATATGTTTTTATAAACATTGTTTTATTTTTCTATTTTGCACAGTTCTCCAGTTGTCTACCACTGTAGTACAATATGAATTTTAGTCCCATGTTATTTTATCCTTACCTGTAATTTTGTCCCAGCTTTTGAAGCCTGTCTTCCCAATTTAATAAATTCTTCATTGAGGCTATACTCAAAAAGTCTTCACTGAGGTGAGCTAAAGTCAACTGTCCCTTTTTCATATTCCAGTGGAGGTGATGGCTTCTAGTGATGAGCGGCATTTGTACATTTATCATGATGTTGGTAATAGATATAGTTCTTTTCTAGAAGGAAATGAATAGCTCTAATCTTAAACATGACCATTTCAATGTGGTTTTAATTTTAAAACCACATTGAGATATCACCTTACACCAGTTAGAATGGCCAAAATTAGCAAGACAGGAAACAACATGTGTTGGAGGGGATGTGGAGAAAGGGGAACCCTCTTACATTGTTGGTGGGAATGCAAGTTGGTGCAGCCTCTTTGGAGAACAGTGTGGAGATTCCTCAAGAAATTAAAAATAGAACTTCCCTATGACCCTGCAATTGCACTACTGGGTATTTACCCCAAAGATACAGATGTAGTGAAAAGAAGGGCCATCTGTACCCCAATGTTTATAGAAGCAATGGCCATGGTCGCCAAACTGTGGAAAGAACCAAGATGCCCTTCAACGGACGAATGGATAAGGAAGATGTGGTCCATATACACTATGGACTATTATGCCTCCATCAGAAAGGATGAATACCCAACTTTTGTAGCAACATGGACGGGACTGGAAGAGATTATGCTGAGTGAAATAAGTCAAGCAGAGAGAGTCAATTATCATATGGTTTCACTTATTTGTGGAGCATAACAAATAGCATGGAGGACATGGGGAGTTAGGAGAAGGCAGTTGGGGGAAATTGGAAGGGGAGGTGAACAATTAGAGACTATGGACTCTGAAAAACAATCTGAAGGGTTTGAAGAGGTGGCGGGGGTGGGAGGTTGGGGGAACCAGGTGGTGGGTTTTAGAGAGGGCACGGACTGCATGGAACACTGGGTGTGGTACAAAAACAATGAATACTGTTATGCTGAAAATAAATTTTAAAAAATGATTAAAAGAAAGAAAGAAAGAAAGAAAAAAAAATGACCATTTCACCTATCACTTGAGGAAGGTTGAGGTGCTTCTAAAATAAAAGAATATAATGACATTTTAGTTTTAAATTCACCTAAATAAGTTAATAAATTTATATTGGGATATGCCTTAGAATGGATAAACTTTTCTACTTGCACTAAAGTAGAACACCTCTACTTTGAGAGTATGTTCCAAAAAAGATTCAGATTTACTCATCAAAGAAATTAAAATGTCTATAGGACATATTACTAGGAAGAAAAACATTTGATCCTTTTTAGTACACACAGTACCACACCTTTAAATATAAGACATTCTTGATATTGCTTTTTAGGTCACTGAGCAGTATACTTACAGGGTGTTTATAAAATCCAGTGGAATCAGTACACAATTTTAAGTAGATTGTACGTCCCCAGCAAAATTAGGAGTGTGACAGAATATATAGCTATAGGAGAGGGCGCCTGGGTGGCTCAGTGGGTTAAGCCTCTGCCTTCGGCTCAGGTCATGATCTCAGGGTCCTGGGATCGAGTCCCGCATCGGGCTCTCTGCTCGGCAGGGAGCCTGCTTCCTTTTCTCTCTCTGCCTGCCTCTCTGTCTACTTGTGATCTCTGTCTGTCAAATAAATAAATAAAATCTTAAAAAAAAAAAAAAAAAGAATATATAGCTATAGGAGATTATCTTGGTAATTATTCATTAAGATGAAATAAGTTTTCCTCTAAGATTACTGTAAAATGTTGACTCCTTAATCATGTATGTGAATAAACAGACTTTCAAAAACTCTATTAGTGACTGTAAGCAAATGAATTTCTTTATTTATAGTGAAGGTGCTTTTTGCTTTAAGCCCATTTAAAAAAATATCTCCAATAGAGTTAACACACATAAAATGGTTGCAATTTTTATTATAAGTGTTACATTTCAGAAACAGTGTTCTCCTCCAAGTATAAATATTAATATTATGGTTTATCGTTTGTATTAGGCTGTAGAGTTATTACTAAAATCAGACTTAGAAATACTAGCAAATCTAATTAAAAAGAAGCTGATACTCCTTTTAATCATGCTTATGGTTTTGAATTTTATAAATGAAGTTAAATATAGTTAGGTAGTCATTTCTTATACCACAGCACAGACTAGTGGATCCTGGAATAGTATACTGAAGGGATCCTCTTGGAACTGCATATTTGGATCTCAGATTTTCAAAATGGGTTGCATATGTAGCAAATAACAAAGACAATATATTTGTGTAGATTCAGTAACACTTCCTTTTACAAATGTAGGATATTAAAATTTAGATATAGTTGATCATCCATTATTGATAGCATTCTTTGAAACAGATTATATAAATCATCTTTCCTGCTTAATAGTTTATACTTTGTATAAACATATAAATTTATAACTTTGCAAGAACAAGCTGGGAGAAGAAAAGGCAAAGATGTAAGCACTTAGCATTTTAGTACCTATTCCTTTATGAAGGAATTATCAATAACATTTGATATAGATGAATTATAATCAGATGGACCTGGAGATATACATATTCATTATACCTTTTATAAGGTAAATATAAACTAGCTTAGTTAAACAAATGCCAGTTTTGAGTTTGGGAAGCACATTAGAAAGAATTGTTACTTTATTTCTTCTGTAATTCCAAAACTCAGATTTTAATAAAAGCCACATTTTCCTTTCCTGTTTTTCAGTATTCACTTTAAACACACACACACACACACACACACACACACACACACACACAGAAGAGACTAGGGGAGTGTTACCTGTGCTGAGAGGGGATTATTCGATTTTTATATTCCTCTGTATTATGAGAGAGTAAGAACATGTTTGGATTCTAAATATTTTCATCTATTTAAACATTTTGCTTCATTTCATAAAACTAGTTTCATTTTTCTGTATACAGAAAGGAATTTTTCCCACATAATTTTAGAGAGTGGGATTAAATTACTGGAAAATAAGAACTAATTTTAAAGGCACTATACATGGAATTATTCTAATCTGAACATCTGTATCTTTATTTATTAATAAATTCTGAAGACTTATGTAAGGAAATCATTAAAATTGTCAGATATATAGGTATGCTCTCCCTGATTCACACCAAACTTTATTAAGACTACTTATTACACGTATTATGAAGACTCAATACTTCTGCAGAGAACCAGTGCCTGATTTTACATCTGCCTCTCATCCTTGGTCAATGAAGAAAATATGCCATTTTAATCTTTCTGTGTTATCACACAAGGATAAGGGGAAAATGACTTTCTGTGTCTGGCATTTGAAAAGATTTATTTTTCTCTCCCTCTGGCTACAAGTCACCTTTGTTTTTTATGCCCACAGATTCCATTCTGATTGGTGTTCACCTTCAAACTGCGATGAGATCCATGACCGGGTAAAAAATGTCTTGAAATCACATCAGGCTCATCAAAGACATTTATATGTTAGTTTCTAAAATTTTCTCTTGAAGGCCTTTTCTAATTGGGCAAGAAAACCAGTGAAGATGCTTAAAGCTTGTAATAGTTAATCACTGGAAAGAGAAGAAAAAAAGATACAACCTCCATTGGACAGAAGTCAGGGGTTTTGCTAAAGGCAACATCTCTAACTTCCTGCTTGACCTGAGTCATTATGCGAAATGTTTGACATCATCTGAACTCTAAACAATGTTACTAGTAATTATCTCATAGTAAGTAGAGACTTTATGATAATTATTTCATAGCCTTCAAACAAAGACTTGTTTTGTGGCCTAGTAAAAATTCCAGTTCCCACAAATAGTTTTTATTCTAAATGGTAGAACAAGGGGACATGGGGTGAGATATAATTATTTTGAAGCAGTTTCTGAACTGATTTTTGTGTTAATTAAAAATTTAAAAGAGGAAAAGAGCAGGTCAGGTTTACTGGGTTTAATACTAGAGAATGTCAATATGAGAATATTTTCTGAGGAAAGGCAAATAAACATTTATGAAGGATAGCTGGGGAATAATTACAGTGTATTCTTTTTGTGTTTGATTTTTTTGTTTGTTTGTTTCATTCAATAGTTTAAGAAATAATCATTTATCATGAGTGTCATGTTGGGTACTAGGCTTGGTCCTGATGATGTGACTGGATTATGTGACATTCCATCAGTTTGTACAGTTTTAAGTTTCTATATGCATACTGTTTTTAAATTAAGCTTGTTTTCAAAGTACAGTATACATATGGAAAAGATACAAATCATAAGTAACAACTTTATGAATTGCAATAAAATCAGCACACTCCTGTGTAAACCATCTACCAAGTCAAGAAAAAAAAAATATCAGCTCTGCAGAAACTTCTCTTGTCTCTCAGCTACTTTCACTCCAAGGATAAACATTCTCCTAACTTTTAATAGCAAGATTAGTGCTGTGTGTTTTAATCTTTATATAAATGAAATCCTACAGTATCTACTTTTTTCTCTGACTTGTTTCACTTTGACTTCACAATTCAGTCTTTTTGTACTACAGACATTATATTTAGCAATAGTTCTTCACTTTTGCTGCTATATTGTATTTTATTATGAAAATACTACTGCTGACTTATTTATTCCTCTGTTGATGGACATTTGGGTTGTTTCTGGTTTGGGCTATTATAGACCTGCTATAAGCATTTTATGCATAATTTGGGTATCATTGTATTCTTCTTATTGAGGTATGTATGTATTCTTATTTGGGTGTGTATGTATTCTTCCCATTTGCAATTGCCCAGTCATAGGGTATGTGTACATGCAACTTTAGAAGGTGCTGTCAAATAATTTTTCAATTGATTTTAACAACCTGGGTGTGAGAGTTATACTTCCTCCACATCCTTACCGTTACTTGATTGGGGTGTGTGTGTGTGTGTGTGTGTGTGCATGTGTGCATGTGCCTGTGTGTTTTCATTTTGGCCTTTTGGTAAGAAGTAGTTTGTCATATGATGGTTCCAGTTTGCTATTTCCTGATGACTAATGGGTATACTTATTGGCCTTTTGCTATTCTCTTTTGTGAGTACTTGTTCAAGTCATTTGCCAATTTTTGTACTGAATTGTCTCCTTTTGGTTTTTTTGTTGAGTTCCATATAGATCCTTGACATGAATTTTTAATTGTATGTTTTTTAATTGTCTTTTCTCACTCTGTGCCTTGCCTTTTTATTCTCTTAATGACATCTTTGATGTAAAATTCTTAATCCTAATGAATTCAATTCATTATGGTTTTTTGTTGTTAACATTTTTAGAAATTTCGTGTACTTCAAGACTTTCTCCTATGTTTTCCTCTAAAGGCTTTCTTTCCCATTTAAATATATGATCTGATGAAAATTATTTTTTCTGTATCATGATAGATAGGTATCAAGTCCCAACGAAGATTTCTTTCTAGGGGCACCTGGGTGGCTCAGTGGGTTAAGCCTCTGACTTTGGCTCAGGTCATGATCTCAGGGTCCTGGGATCGAACCCCGCATCGGGCTCTCTGCTCAGCGGGGAGCCTGCTTCCCCTTCTCTCTCTGCCTGCCTCTCTGACTACTTGTGATCTCTTTCTGTCAAATAAATAAATAATCTTTAAAAAATATATATTTCTTTCTAGTTATGTTAATTTTATATATTTGGAGCTATGTCATTCGTGGGATACAGATTTCAGACTGTGATATGAACCTTTTGTTATGAAGGTTCTTCATCTCTTCCTTTCTAGCAATATTCCTGTGTGACAGTACATTTGATCTGATATTTATAGAGTTACAATGGCTTTCTTTTGGCTTGTCTTTCTTTTGGCTAGTCTTGGCATGGTATATATTTTTCCACTTTTTGTTTTTATCAATATATTTGAAGTGCATATCTTATGAGTAGTAGCACAAGGTTTTTCTGAAGAATTAAAATCTTGCACTTCTATATAAATTGATGTGGCTTTGGTTTGGATTAGTATTTTTTATAACTTACTTTCCTTTTTATTTGTTATTTATTTTTAACTTTTCTGTTATTGGTTGCTCTACAGATTTCAACATGTATACATGACAAATTATTTTTTCATTAACCTCTCCCTTATAATGGGGCCCTAAAATATTTAACCCTTTTTAACCTGCCCCCCTTTTTGCACATTTTTGTCATGTATTTTAAGTCTACATATATAAAACACACAAGAAATTAATTTTATTTATATAGTAATGTTTATTCAAGTTAGCCCCTTATTTAGGCTTTCTATTATTCTTCTTTCTTTCCTGCAATTCCATGTTCCCATATGGATTCTACAGTTATTTTCCTTCTCCCTTTAATACTTCTTTTATGATATTCTCCTGGCTATGAATTCTGATTTTGTTTGAAAACATCTTGGTTTTAATTTTATGGGGATTGATTTTATTGGAAAATTATTTTATTGGAAATTTTATTGGAAATTTTATTTGGAAATTTTATTGGAAAATTGTTTTATTGGAAAATAACTATCAACCAACCAACTACCAACCAGCCAACTGGTTGGTAGTTGGTTGGTTGATAGTTATTTTCTTTGGTGTTTTAAAGAAGCTATTCCATTGTCTTCTCACTTTTTTTTTTTTATGTCTTAGAAAGTAAGCTATTACACCTTTGAGGTAATAAGGGAATTTTTCCCCTCTCTGTTGTATTTAAGATTTACTCCTCAACTTTGTGTCTAGTAATTTTACTATTATATACCTACATTTGGTATTCTTGGATTGATTCTATGTTAAGTTTTCAGAGCTTCCTAAATTTGTAGGTTGATATTTTCCATTAGTTTTGGAAAACCCGTAGCCATTCTTTCTTTAACGCATTCTTATACCCCATTATCTGTTTTTCTGGAACTCCCAGTTATACTTACATTAGATGTTTAGACTTATAGAAGATTTTTTAGGGGTGCCTGGGTGGCTCAGTGGGTTAAAGCCTCTGCCTTCTGCTCAGGTCATGATCCCAGGGTCCTGGGATCAAGCCCCACATTGGGCTCTCTGCTCAGCAGGGAGCCAGCTTCCTCCTCTCTCTCTGCCTGCTTCTTGCCTACTTGTGATCTCTGTCTGTCAAATAAATAAGATCTTTTAAAAAAAAAGTTTTAGATTTTTAGACTCATATGTATCTTGTGCTTTTTTTAGATATTTTTAATTCTTTTTTTTTCCTCTCTAATTTGGATACTTTCATTAGAAATGTCCTCTAATCTGCTAATCCTGTCTTGTGTTTATATTGATGTTAAAACTATTTGAAATTTTATGAAAGACATAACTTTCAAGAATTTTTTGAAAGACATAAAGTACCAAAACTAACTCAAGAAGAAATTGATAATCACAACAGTTGTATATCTATTAAAGAAATTGAATTTGAAGTTAAGAATCTTACATAAAAGAAAACACCAGACCCGGATGGTTTCTCTGGTGAATTCTACCAAATCTTTAAGAAGATTTCTGTCTTACCCGACAGAAAGTAAAAGGAAAACTTTTATGAGTTCAGTATTTTCCCTAATATCAGTCAGACAATGACATTAAAAGAAAATAAAAATACAGACCAGAATCCCTCATGAACATATATGCAGAAATCCTCAACAACACACTAGCAAATCAAATCCATCCATTTATAAAAATGAAAGTATATCATAATCAAGTGGTCTCCTTCTAGAAATGTAATATAAGTTCATCTTCCTGATGGGTTAAATAAGAAAAAGCATATTTCTTCTGTATGTCATTTCAATAAGCACAGAACAAGTATCTAACAAAATCAAACTCTATTCTTGATAAACATTCTTAGTAAAATTGAGGTAGAAGGGAACTTTATCAATCTAATGAAGAGCGTCTTTGAAAACCTATAGCTAACACTTTATACTTAGTGGTGAAAGACTGAATATTTTCCCCTAAATTCAGAAACAAGGTTGCCCTCTCTTTACATTCCTTTAACATCATACTGGGAGTTTTAGACAATGCAGGAAGATAAGAAAAAGAAATAAAAGGGATACAGATTGGAAAATAAGGAAAAAATACTTTATATTTGCAGAGGATATGATTTTGCAGAAAATTCCACAGGATCTCCAGAAAGGCTCCCAGAACTAATAAATGAGGTTAGCAAGGTCACAAAATATGAAGAAAGTCCATTTTTTCCTATATATCTGAAATGAATAGTTGGAATTTTCGATTAGGAAATCCACACCATTTACAGTAGCACCTGAAATTGAAGTCCTTAGGTATAATCCTAACAAAATATGTGCAGCATTTGCATTCTGAGAACTACAAAATGCTGTTGGAAACAATCAAAGAAGATAGAACTAAATGAAGAACTACACCATGTTCACAGATTGGAGGACTCCATATGAAGATGTCAGTTTTCCCCAATCAGATCTCTAGATTCAGTGCAATCATAATTAAAACCCTATCAAACTTTTTAATAGAAATTGCCAAGCTGATTCTAAAATATATATGGAAGGAACAAAGGAAATTGAAAAAAACAAAAACAATTCTGAAAATGAACAAAGTTGA